TGTTGGCAAGAGACTTGAACCTAGAGTGGCTCCCAGGAGCCCAAGGCGATGTCCCCAGTTAGTCCCTTGGGAAACTGAGGATAGGGAACCTGAACTGACCCTATCCTATAGCATTACTGACGAATATCTTTCATATCACCATAGAACCTTCATCTGGTGATGGATGGAGATAGAGACAGAGACCCACACTGGAGCACTGAAGAATATTTTAAGTGACTGAAAACAAAGAAGTGTATTTTCTTTGCTTATTCTGGAAAAAAAATCCTATGTGTTATTTCCTACAGTATGTTTGGCTGAAATACCATGCTCTGAGGAACTTTGAAAAGCAAAAGGAATATGTACATGATTTCAAATGCTACAGGCAAGTCCAATTGCTCTTGCAGGAAACAGGGGTTTAAAAACTGGGCAAACAGTTTAAGACAGGAACTTGAAAGACTTGTGTCCTTGGCCAGAAGGCATACATATCCTTGAGTGTATCAGGAGCCCAGAAATTTTAGGAGTGTTTGGAGGCTTTAGTTTCTAGTCTGGTCTCTCTCAATATTTTCTTTGTTTTTTTTTCCCAGCTCCCTGGAAGCTCTATATGAGAGTATGGCTGAAACCCACACCAGAGACAACAATCCCTTTTGGTGAACTAGTTTGGGATGAGAGATCAGCATTTTAATGGTAGAAATTTATATGTCTACTATAATATTCATAGTGGTAGGATTGATATTTGAACTCTGCAGACTCAACTGCTGTTTTAATTATTTCTCCCCTCATTTATTATAAATATATACTCAGATTCTCTTGTGGCAGTCTAACTCCCTATGTCTGGGACCTTAACTGAAATTTAGCAAAAGGGGAGAGACCTTAAATTTTATTCCCCAAATTTCAGACCATATACTAAATGACTTCAGAATCTAAACCTCTGAGGAGAGAATATTTTGGCAATTAATAAGCCTGGATATGATTGAGAACAGATAGTTCCTTTGTGGAATTGGTCCTACCTCTCATTTCTCACCAAACACGAGAAAGGGAACCATCACAGCAGCCCCACCTTAGGATTTATAACAGCTTATGAAATAGTCTAGGAAAGACTCCTGTGTGGTTGAATCTGCCTCATACCTGATTGTTCAACCTTGACCTATAAAGTAAATTCCCGTGGGATAATTCCCTAGGCTTAGAATTTGCAGTTACAGGTATGATGATCCTAACAGCAATTGAATGATTGTATGCATGATGATGCTGCAAATAGGACCATTGAAAAATAATAATAGTAATCATATTAGTGTGTGTGTGTGTGCGTGTGTGTGTGTGTGAGAGAGAGAGAGAGAGAGAGAGAGAGAGAGAGAGAGAGAGAGAGAGAGAGAGTATTGCATGAAGATGAAGATACTAGGACACCATTGAGAATCATTAAGGGAAAGCTACCTTTTACTGGTCAAAATCAAAATAATTAAACCAGAATGTGCCTCCAGTCTTGGGAGAAAACAAGATATTCTGATACAATACAAAGATTTTACATTCTACTGTCTCTTCTTTTAAGAGTTCCAAATAGGGTCATCAGAGACCACCCCATATGAAAGATGATTTTTCTGAAGATGTGTCAAAGACAAGGGAGGAATAATTATCCTCTTAATGAGATAATATACTTACATTTTAAGAAGCTCTTCCACAATGCAGCTGCTTTCAAAACTTGCACCATTAAGCACTTTTAAACTTGAGAACTTTTCTATTTTCTTTTGTTTGTTTGTTTTCTAATGAATGTGGAGATAGAAACAGATACACATCTACTTGCCAAAACTCATTAACCTTATATAGAATAGATATGCTTTATTGACCATAACTTATCTCTTATTAAAGATAATTTTGTAAATGGAGCCGCCTATATCCAAAAGAAACATTCAACAGTAAATTAGTATTTTCTGTGTTTTGATGGAACAGTAGTACATGGTAAATATTAAAAAACAAAGTTTTGTTAAAAATTAATACCAGAAGAATTAATAATTTGGTTTAAAAGGCTAATATTTAAATTTTTGTAAGTACTGAGTTATAGTTATGAGCATATAGGTGTTCATATGAAGAAACAAATATCTCATTGCTGATAAACCCAAATGCTGTAATTTCTTTGCTAAAAAAATTGGAATTTAATTTCTTAAAAACTGTAATATTGTTATAAATTCATGTATTATTTTTGAAATACTGTTAGGTAAACTACTTTCTGTTATTGCTGCATGCCTCTTAATTCCCACCTCTTAGCTAGGAGCTTACCTTTGTACTTTTGTGTGCACTGAAGTTTCCATGCACTCATTAAATGAAGATTTTGACATGAAAGTCACAAATTATATAATAAGATCAAACATTCTGCAATACAACTTTAATAGATTTTCATATTTGTGTGTGTGTGTGTGTGTGTGTGTGAGAGAGAGAGAGAGAGAGAGAGAGAGAGAGAGAGAGAGAGAGAGAGAGAGAGTAATTTAAAGTGGTCCAAACATTACTAAATGAGAATAAGTCCGGATCCAAAATAATTTATTGACTTAAATTTTTGCCACCTTTCAGATGAGTGCTCATCCCTAAACAAAACGTGTGCTGTTCCATCTAAGGCTCAGAGGATAGTATGGAAGAAAGTGTGGAAAGACGATAGGGAGGAAGGCTATGAAATGCTATCTTCTTTTTAAAGCATGGCCATTTCGACCATGAACTCACCAAAGCTATAGGGCCTGCTGTGAGTCTGCTCAAGGACTAGCCTGCCTACAGTCAGGCTCAAATTGAGGAAGGGCTCTAGGGTACCTACAGAACACTGCTGAACTATTGAATATTGATATATTCTGGAAGGGGAGAGACATTTTCTTCTGTTGGGTGGTTCTTATGTTTCAAAACCAATGTTTACATAGATGGGTCCCAAAACAAAACTAACAGTCATGAATCCTGGAAAGGGAATGGTAACAATGAGGGAGACTGGAAGTTGGCAGTTATGGAGGGATGTAAGGGAAGGTATAGGAAAAGAATAATTAGAACGTATGGTATGTAACTCTAGGAAATTGTCAGAAAACAAAATTAACTAAAAAAAACATTGGCAATGTAACAAATTATTTGTTATGTTCAGAGTTTATTACCAAGGTATCTTGGGCATTGTCATTTTAAAGCTTATGAGTTCACAGAAATTTTATGCCCACCATTTAAAACTTTTATACTATACCCACATCACAGAGTACATATCATATGTTGGGTACGACTTAACAAATTCATAAACATGTATTTCAAATTCTATAACTTAAATTTTTCCATCTTGCTAAAAATTTCTTCTGTGACTTCTTGGGTCAATATATTTCTTCCCACTTCAGAGATGTAGCTACATTCATATTCATTCCATTGCAGATAAGGTTTTCCTATCCTAGGACTTTACATAAATAGAATCAAACTGTTCTTCATGTCTGGCCTCATTGACTTATCAATACACTTTTGATAAGTGCACATAAATGATCTGTCCCTTTATATAGATACATCCTAATAAGAGGAGAAAAGTAGAACTATGCTACATTTGTTTATCCATTGTCCTATTATTATAATTTCATTTGCTTCTAACTTGAGGCTATTCTAAATAAATATTAATGTAGTTTTGTACCTATATAGTTTGTTTCTTTTGGAGAGAATATTTAGAAGTGGTTTTCCTGGGTCATAGAGTTTGACTAACTTTTGGCAAGCGCTAAGCCTACTTCCTATTCTAAAGAGAGTTTCCATTTTACTTTTGCCAGTAATTCATCAGAGTTCTGGTAAAAGCCGCTATTTTAAAACTGTTAACTAAAAAGGGATTTTGTTTCAGCATCGTATAAAAAGAATGGGTGTAAAGAAGCCATTTGGTCACTGTCATCATGGTTTGATAAGCTGAAAATTAAAATAAGAGTGTGCTACTTTTAGCTGCAATGGGGTCATTTTTGTAGAGCAAGAATGAAATGCCAAACAGCAAAGTCACACTTGAGCTCCTGCTCTCTGTGAGGCAGAAACAGAAGCATGTGGCTAGAGAGCTGTCCTTGGCCAATTTTACAACTGCCACACATTCTTCAATATCACATTTGTTTTCAAGTATATCAACATTGAGCGGGTTTAAACTGACGTCCTGGACCTCGCTGTGCATTTCATCTCACAAGCCCGCATCAGTGCTCATTCCTAACCTACTTAAGGGTGACGTACACTGTGTGGCCAGAAATAAATCCCTGCTCTCAATTTTGTCCCAAATCTTTAGTGTCTCTGCCAGTGTTGACATTTCTATAATTTCTCACATCTCCCTAAGTAAGATTTAGGGTCAGACAGAGCTCAAATTATTGTTGTGTCTTCTTTTAGCCATTAGAAATTGGGCAAACTAGAAAGGAGTGAGAAATAGGTCTGTAAATACCACGTGGAAACAAAGAAAGCACTTAGTATCTTAATAGTGAGGCCAGGTATTTGTAGCTGTCATCTACTACAGTAACAGAAAACTTGTTCCTGAACTCTATAACATGAAAAAATAGTAGCTCTGCATATTTTCCTAATGCATGATGTTCTCTCTCTCTCTCTCTCTCTCTCTCTCTCTCTCTCTCTCTCTCTCTCTCTGTCTCTCTCTCTGTGTCTCTGTCTCTCTCTGTGTCTCNTCTCTCTCTCTCTCTCTGTCTCTCTCTCTGTGTCTCTGTCTCTCTCTGTGTCTCTGTCTCTCTCTGTGTCTCTGTCTCTGTCTCTCTCTCTTTGTCTCTCTGTGTCTCTGTCTCTGTCTCTCTTTGTCTCTGTCTCTCTCTCTGTCTCTCTCTGTCTCTCTCTGTCTCTCTCTCTCTCTCTCTTTCTGCTACATCTTTATGTCCAACCACTGTGGGCCTGCCTGCCCTTTTATTTTAGGAATCTAAATCCTCATGGTACTGCCATGACATCCATCTTTCCTGTTATCTAAGCACTTACTCTCTATCAAACAATAAATAAATAAAATTTCCTGTCTGGTCTACTGATTCTTTAAAACAATTTTTGTTCTTTTTATTTCAAACTACCAGCAGATTTGATATTTAGAAATGAATCATAATAGAAATAAAGGTTGAAGTGTTTACTCCTGTGTCTTTGTCTTGGGGACTGGAAGGATCACCAGACTGTCCCTACTGTCTTCCTTACCACCAGCCTGACTGCTCATTCTTGTGATGCTTTTTCATGTGTCAGGCTCAGCACCAAGAGCTTATGTGCAGTGTGCTGTGTAATCCTAACCACTAATCTCCCAAGGAAACCAAAATACAGCAAATAATTCACTTTTAGTATTTACACTCCATGGCTAATACTCATTGTCTCTCAACCATAACAGGCTTGGGGAAGCTGCCTATTATATGACTAAATCAGATACACATTAAAAATTAAAAATAAGCTCACTCTCATTACCACCTTTCCTGAGACATTCCTTGGAATATAGTAAACCAGTTTTTATTATAGATGTTATTATTTCTTTTATGTGTATGTGTGTGTGTGTGTGCATGTGTACACAAATGCATGTGAGAATGTATGTATGTGGGCATGCACATGTCAGAAGAAAACTTTCAGGATTCAGTTGTCTCCCTTCATTCATGTGGGTTACAGGAACTAAGGTGTAAAGGCCTGGAGGCAAGCAATGTTACTCTCTGAGCCATCTTGCCAGTCCAAGAATTTCTAGAAGCCTATTATTAAGAATCTTTTTCTGCATGAAAATATCAGGAGGAAAGGCAGTTAATTTAACTAGGAGTTGTGATCGATATGAGGCAATCATTTAGCATCTAATTTCTATTCTTTCACAAGTCCATCTTATACCCTCGTTTGCCCTGAGTCTTAACATACATTTCGGTGTAAATACTTAGAAACTGAATTATGATGGGGTGAATGACTGAAATGCTGAAGGGATCTTTAAATTCTTATCTGCAGTGGAAAATTCAATGTGTCTATCAACTACTACAAAGTGTACCTGTCTTTGGCATTGAACTCTTAGAGTAGTTCATCTGAGAACACAAAGCTCTTTTTAGGCACTGAAGAGATAAACTTCTATCATAAAAGCAAAGCCCAGAACAAAACGAAGCTTTCTCTGTGTCCTTGAAACTCTGATTTAATCAAAAGATGTGTTGTCTATATAAGAAACTGATTGAAGTGTGATTTATTAGTTATGTTGTAACTTTTGACACTGAATGCTATTTTTAATCATTGTTTTGAACTTGGTAATACAACAAAGTAAGCCTACTTCAGTGGATAGTGCAATAGGTTTTGACAAATGCAGCATCATCAATAAA